CTGGACAGTGGACACCTCAAACATAGCCCCACCTTTTGTCGTCCTCTTACAACCGGTTAGCATAATACCATCTCAAATATTTTAAAAAATCCCAATCCTTACATTTTCAAATCCATTCAATTCAAATTCAAAAACAAACCCCTACGGTTCACATGAGAATTGGGGCTTTTGTTTCCACTTATTCCTTTCCTTTAATTCAAGTATGTTTACACATTATTTCGTAGTTAATATCATAATCCATCATCAATTTCATGAAGTATTTCTTTATAGACAACATATATATATATACATTCATCTCAACAACCTGTACTCCTTTAGATTCATATCTATTTAAACCAAAATATGGATATACAAGTGTAAAGATATTCCTACCCCAAGGTTGCACAAGAAAAGATGAAGGTCCACCTGATGAGCTCTTGAAATACCATGATCTAATCGGTTCAAAATGTAGCTTTTGACGAGGATAACAACTTTAATAAAGGAGCTAAGATGGATTCTTTCTCTATCTTGATGAAGTCTAGAGTTTCTTAACTAGGCTTTTCGAAAAAAAGGGAAAAATGAGAGAAAAGGGATGAAAAGTGGGTTTAAAATGAGTTTAGATCGTGTTTTTAAAGTCTATTGTCCCTACATGACCACTCGAGCGAGACTTCCATCGCTCGAGCAAGGTGCCAAAATACTGAGGGACTGCTCAAGTGAACTATCCACCACTCAAGCGACAAAAACAAAGTCTCAAAATCTTTGCAGAGCTACAGTGAAAATATTGGGAGCTCACATTTTACGCTTGAGCGACAACTCTTTCGCTCGAGCGGTCTCGCTTGTAAACTTGCGAGATATTGTGAGCAACAATTCTCCTTTCGAGCGACAACTCCTGCGCTCGAGCTGTCACCCAAAGTCAACTATTATAGGAGCTAAAGATCTTAGACTAATGTACACATCATTTTGATACTATATTTTATTTTGCTAATCAGGATTAATGCTAATTAAACCAGATTAGTAAGCCTTAATCGAGATTATTAAGCTAAGCAAGATTAAGTTAAATCTTGATTAATTAGAGACTAACCTTAATTAATTATAACAAGAATTAATTAACTAAGCTAATGGAACAATTAGTAAAATAGTTAAGGTAACCTTGATTAAGCTAAGCAAAGCAAATAAATTAGGATTTGGTGAAGCATACACGTAGGTGAAGCAAACAAACACCTTCCTTTTTGTATTATTGTACTTTTGTCTTGCCTTACTCAACAAAACCAAAAGACAAGGAGAGAAAATATGCTGGAAACAACAAGAAAAAGCTAGAAAAAAATAGAAACAATAAGAAAAAAAAAAAAAAAAAAAGAGAAAGAAAGGAGAAAAGGAAACTCAAAGAGAACTTAGTTCAAATCCATCATAAAAGGTGTTCTAAGTAAGATTTGATCATAATTCTTATAGTAAACCTATCAACCATCTAAGATTAAGAAGAAACTAGAATCAATTTGAGTTAGAGATAAAGAAATAAAGAACAAGAAGTGGTCCTAATTCTTGCTAATATAATCTTGTTTTTATTGTTCTTGATTCAAAAGAGGTTGTATTCTCACACTTTCTGTCACGACTCAAACCCGCCCCTACAGGTTCAGCATCGTAACCGGTCAGTAATCCTCGGATTACTAAAGGCCTCTGACCTGAATAACAAAATATAAGGGGCTAGCGGAAGCAAATATAGAATATACATAGTCCATTGAGCTGTGTAGATATACATGGGACTGAAATTTTCAAAAACTTTATATGCTTAGGTGTGACGTCATAATTACGGTAATTCACGTCACATTCATTACAGATATAACAAAAGGGAACTTAGCCCAATATACACATAAACAGAAAACTTGTTCATATTCCAAAAGAAAACGAAGTCTCAAACATGTGTGTCACAAAAGAGAACCTCCTCGAGAGACACAACAGCTAGCTGACACGACAGAGACTACAGGTCATCAACTCTGAGCCTTTTCACGCGCCTGGTCACCTACGTACATAAATAATAGAGTGAGCTGGAGCCCAATGAATAATAACAAAGTAAAGATTTTAATGAATGATGTCTATAACAGATTTAGATTTCAATTCTCTTATCAAAACATAAACATAGACATATTCGTATTAGAAACGGAGTCATAGTCATATTCATATTCAATCATGCGTGGGATATCCATTAGCATTAACATATCTCTTTGGTCATGCATATCAAGTTCCATAATTGAACCTCTGGTACCGGATAACATATCTCATACGTAGGCTACGGTATTATTTCCCTCCAGTGATTGCCTGTGCCCCGGTATTATTCCCCCGGTCAAGGGCCTATGCCATGGTATTATTCCCCTGAGTGAGGGCCTCATGACCATAAATCACAGTATTATGTCTCCTGGATGAGGGCCTCTGCCAAGGATACCGCAAATACATCTCAAAGAAGTGGATCATCATTCATGTAATCACAACATATCCTTTTGTATCCTTCAAAAATAGTTCATATCATATCATAATGTTCAGAAAGTACATTATATTGAACATAGCTTTACTAAGTTATTACTCATAGATGGTTCCAGAAGTAAACAGATAGAGCAGGCAAATCAAATAGCTTACGACGCGTGACCTACACAAACATAACAGATACACAGATTGAAACACACGCTTGGATAGTACTTTACTTATTTCATTTCATTCTTAATGTGTTTCTAAGTTTTATCCTCATTATTGTGTCTTAGTCATGGCCTAGGAATGTCTAGGCTGCAATGAGGATGCCAAAATGCACTTGAAAACTCTTAGTCAGATATGCTAAAAACAGGGGCCTCGCTTGAGCACAACTTCTTTTGCTTGAGCGGATGCTCAAAAATGTGAGTGCTAGCTCGAGCGCAGATTCCTTCGTTCGAGCGGTTTGTATACTCTAAAAAAGTACTGTTTGCTTGATTTTTCCACTCGACGCATGCTCGATGGTCACTCGAGCGTGTGACTGATGTCTTTGCTCGAGCGCAACTCTTGTCGCTCGAGTGGGGTGCAAAATATGTAAACTTCTGGAAGCATGCATTTTACGCTCGAGCTAACTTTTGGTTGCTCGAGGAGAAGGGCAAAACAAAAGGTGGTCGCTCGAGCACAGGTTATGTCACTCGAGCGGAGAAGCAGATTTCTAGAATTTCTAGATTACACTCCAAAGCTCAAAACTCGAATTTAACACATCCAAACTCATACTTTTGGGCTAAAACTCAAGAAATCACTTGTAAACTTGCAAAACATCATGAATTAAAGATCATTACTCAAAATCAAGGCCCAAAAGCAAGTGAATTCTTCAAAAACAAACTTGAATTAGATGTATACATATCATGCATGTATTGACTTGGGTTCAAAGGTTCCAAACTATGATCAAATGAGGTCTAATGGTGAGAAATGTTATGAATTAGTAAAACCATGCTAGAATTACCACATGCATGAGAGAAAATCCTTGAAAACAACTTCAAAACCCCATGAAATATACATGCATGCATGGGATGCTCTTCTTTTCTACTTCCTTAGTCCAATTCATGCATCTCATGGCCTAATTTCTTTGAATGCATCCACTGACCAACTTAATTACAAGACTAGACGCTTGAATTCTCACCTTAGATGCTTAATTGAACTCTACTTGGCTAATTGATTAAGTTTCCAAGTCAAATCTTCCAAGTCTCTAGCAATTCTCCTAATTGAACTCAATCTTCTCTTCTCTCCCTCTCTCTCTATGTTTGTTGCCTTAAAGGTGAAAGAATGAGAGTGTAAAGTATGTTTTAGAGGTTATTGTGCCTTATATAGGCTTGGTTAATGGGACTCAATTAAGCTTGGCTTAAGCTAATCAAAGGGTTATTATTTAATTCTAATTGATTCGTTCCAATTCGAATTTCAATTCAACCTACCATAAAATTCTAAAAATTCTAAATAACACATAAACCAAGTCAATTTCTTGATCAGATGCTGATAAGGCCTTCAATTCACAAAACACAACAAAAACACAAACAAATATTCCTACGCAAAACAGATGGAATCTCATATAGCATATAACACATGCAATTAATGCAAAATTCCACCTTAATTACTTATTAGGTATTCGTAATCATGGTTTAACAAGTAATCATAGGTCGGGATTGTTACACTTTCATAGGATTTTCAAGAGTTTTGTAAACTTAATTTCATGTTTTGAAAGAATACATAATAAGGGTTTGAATAAGAAATAGAATTCATGAGAGTTCTTGAAATAAATTCATAATTGGACCTTTGTAGCATGTTTTGAAGTTATTGATTTGGTAAGAAATATACTTTCATGTTCTTTTCATGTATTTGGCATGTTTTGTATCAAGTTTTCAAAGTCCCAAGTCATAAAAATGAGAGGAGGAAAGCAAGAACAAAGGAAGAATTTCATACAACACAAGAACAATCATTCCCAGACATGCCCTGGAATTTTCGCACGTGAAGCCAACCCCTCCAAAAACCAATTTTTGCTACTAAAATAACCGCATGTGCCCTCAAATTTACCGCACGAGTGGAACTCTTCCACTACAACAAAATTGATTTTTTACTTCACCACATCAACGACATACAATAAATGTAAACAGTAGTTTCTCACTTTTACGACTTACTTTTTTTGTATGTCGTAAATAATTTTCCAACCACGGTGTGTCTATTACGTAGGCCGTGAATGCTAATAATGATGATTTTTTTATGGCTTGCAATGTTAGTCGTAAATAATAAAACTTTCTATGACATGCATTTGGCATGTTGTTAAAATATCAACTATACACGAACACGTATGCCAGCTGTTAAAAGTATTGCACTTTTCACAGTGCACAAAACACTAGCCATTAAAAATATTATATTTTTTACGACGCACAATTTATGTTGTGAATAGTATGACTGAAAAAAATAAACACTAAAATAAAATTTCTGGCTCCAATCACCAAAAATATATAAATATATATATATCAGAATATTTTTTTTCCAAAATAACATTTTGCGTTCTAGTTCGTCTAATCAGAAAGGAAACATAGCAAGGGTTTCAATCTCTCTCTCTCTCTCTCTCTCTCTCTTTCTCTCTAATGATGAAGGCCGAATCAATTACTAAGGGTTACTAGGCTCATCTTATCTCTTCTCTTCGGTTGTGTATCTAAAATCAAAGGTATCTATCATCGTCTCGTTCTTCTCTTCTCTTCTTAGTTGTGTATTTGAGTTTGGTTGCTTTCTCAAGGTGTTCCATTCGAAGCCATGAAGCCATGAAAGCTCCTCACTGTCATTTTCTCGACATCTGGGCCATTTTCTTGGCTTCCAAACAAGCTTCCTTTCCACTACAATGTCACTGTCACTTCTCTCTCTTAGTCCTCGACATAGGCAGCGAACTCTCATGGCTTAACTGCAAAAAACCCAAAATTCCCAACTCGTATTTGACTCATGGCTTCACTCCATTGTTTTTTTCCCAATAATTTCAACTTCTTATTGGTTTTTTAATGCACTTTTTATTGGTTTTCTACACGAATCAGAGTTGTTCGGTTTCTTAGCCATGTATTTGCTGCTTGTTGCTGTTTGAAATTATTATTTTATTAGGGCTACTTTTTTTTTCCCTTGGCAATTGGAAACTATTTTTATAATTATTTTATTTTATTTTAAAGCCCACTTTTTATTTCTAAATGTGCTTTTGCCAATTTCATATCTCATTCTGTTTTCCTATTGATTTGGGGTTTTCGGGTTTTTGCAAAACAAGGTAGTCTTTCTTCCCTTTCAATGCCCATTTTATTATTTTATTGTTTGATGATGTGCTTCATGAGAATTGTAGCTGGTTTTATTATTTTATTGTTTTTCAATGCCCATTTTATTATTTTATTATTTGATGAGGTTCATATAAAATAATTGCTTGGTGATGATGTGGCTATTTGGTAGTAGTTGAAATTGTTGTTGAAAATCTATTTGCCGTTGAGATTGAACAATCGCTATTTTTTAGGAATAGGTATATGATGTCCTGTATTCCTTGGCTTTAGTGTCTGCTTGTGCACCTGTAAGTCCCCAGGAAGTTGTTTTTGTAGTAATTTGACTTGTTTAATTTGGTTGACATATTCAATTGTTGCATTTTTTTTTAATTCCTGACGAGTATTTGGGAGAGCTTCTTTGGGCATATGGGCCACCACATTTATAGTGGTTGATTTTTATTTTAAGATTTGACATTTATTTTTGAATCCAAAGTTGATCTGTTGTGTGAATTGAAGAGTCGGCTACAGATTTTGTGAAAACAATAAAGGTTTTTTTTTCCCTCCACTTTTGTCCCCTTCACTTTTGCTTTTATAGTTTTTTTTTCTTTTGTATTTTGTTCTGAAATTGACAAATGAAAGTGGGTTGAGATTCAAGTTAAAAGGTATTCTTCATGGTGGAACTCACACGATTTTGGGGCGAATTGTTTCTGCTGTGCTTTTTTCATCATGGGTATTATTTCAGAGTGATTAATATTATTTTTCCCCCCCACTTTTGTCCCCTCCAAGTACTTGTAGAATGTTCTCTGCTCCATGTTGTTCTTAGAATGTTGTTAGGTGTCTATTAAATTGGGTGTCTGTTAGAATGTTGTTGGAAATTATTTTCATGTTATAGGGAACAATGGTTAGTGGGCTATTTTTTTATTCTTTTTTTCCCATGGTAGTGGAGAGTTGTTAGGGAGGTAGATCTATTACAGGAAGGTTGTATTCTATGCTTATAGAGTCTTGTGGTGTGCGGAGTGTTTGGTAGCTAAGATCTCCTTAGCTACTTTTTGTATCTTTTTTCTGTTTTTTTCCTGTGGTGTGTGGGTGCTAGTGCTCACATTCATCACCTTGTATCTTTATCTTCTTATTTTAATGAAGACTTCGTTGTTGATAAAAAAAAATGTTTTCATAGATATTTTATTTTATTTTAAAAATCACTTTTTTTTATTTCTAATTAAATGTTTTGTTTTGCCCATTTCAAATCTCATTCTTCTCTTTCATTGATTTGGGGTTTTGGAGTTTTTGCAAAACAAGGTAATCTTTCTTCTCTTTCAATGCCCATTTTATTGTTTGATGATGCTGGTGATGATGTGGGTTCATAAGGTGATGATTATGTTCATATAAAATAATTGCTTGCTGTCATTGTAGTCTTTGCTAAGAATTTTTAGTAGTTGATACAAGGAAAACTCATGCTTTAGATTCAATTAAAAGTTGATGCTTCACTTAACTCCAAAACAATATTTTAAAGAAAATCTGAAGAAGATTATATTTCATTCCATGAATTGATGTACGAAACCAAGGATTACATTTATTATGTACAATCTATTGCTTAACCTAACCACAACTGCCTAACCAAAGTTACAACTACTCAACTAAACTATGGTCAACTCCTAATAGACTAACAACTCAAACTAATTCTATTACAATGTATTTTGAGATCCACACGTGTTAAATTGAGGCTGAAGTGCTGCAGCTTTAGCTGTTGCTTTATTCTGGATTAAGGCATGTGCTACGGCTTGGCTGGTCTAGGCTACAGCCTGGCTTGTGACAGTGGCTGAACATTGATCGGCTGCAGCATAGATCTAATGCAGCTGGGCCTTTGCCTTCTGAGGCTGCAGCTGTGACAACTCCGACCTCCATAATATTATATTACATTATTTTAATAAGCTTAATTGCATGATTGTGTGTTTAATTGTGTGATTATATGCTTAATTTTATGATTATCTATCGATACATGGAAAATATGTTTACTTATCAACTTAGAATTAGAAATTGTTAGCCCAAACGGCTTTAGAAACCAAAATTGACCAGCACAATAGGCTAATTAGAATATTTAGATTTTTATGGCAACTTTAATTGAAATTTGATTTGGATTAAAATAATTAGATAAATTAATTAGAATTCATTAAAATTAAGTGGGATTAATTAGTCTTAAGCTAGCTTAGATAAGGCCTTAATCATGCTTTGAACTCACATTATACATCACATGAGTTGAAATTTGAGAGAGACTTGGCAATCAACAAGCATAGAGAGTGAAAAGCAACTCTAGAGAGAGAGAGAGAGAGAGAGAGAGAGAGAAGAGAGAATTGTAAAGGAATTGAAGGAAATTTGAAGAATTGAACTAGAGTGCACTTGAATTCCAGCCTTAGGTATGATCTTCAACCTTAATCCTTGTAAATAAAAGATGTAGAAGTTTAACTCATCTAGTTCTTGAGTTCATTTGCATGTAATTGTACAATAGAGGCATGAATTACCTTGAATTTGGAAGAATTGAGTTGATCATATACATGCATGCATGAATCACCAATTTGAGTTTGAATTTCATGGAATTTTTCAATTGCATGAAACTATATTTGACATTTTTGAAGATATTTCTTAGCTCTAACACTTCTCATCTCATGCATGGGAGTTTTGAAAAGAAAATAGTGCAATTCATGCCATGCATGGTTTCACCATCATGGTTTAAGTTTGAATTTGGAAATTGGGAGCATGATTTTGAACAATTGGTTTCAAATTAACTATGTTTTCATGTTCTATAATGTTCTCCCATGTTTTTGTACCAAATATACCAGTTTTGAACCTTTGAATGCATGTTTTGAGCTTTAAACAAAATTTTGAAAATTTCAGAATTCGACCAGTTCGCTTGAGGGAAGAAAGTGTCGCTTGAGCGTAAAAATCAATCTCCCAAAAGTTTTGCAGAGTTTTGCAAACCGCTCGAGTGACCAAAGTTGCACTCAAGCGAAGACCCTATTTTCAACAAATTTTGACTAACTCTTTTAAGTGCATACTTGCATCCTCATATCATTTCAAGTACTCTTAGGCACCAATTGGACTCATATAATCATGGAATGAGTTAAAAACACGTAAGAAGAGTTGAATTAAAGTGAAACGATTACTTAATGGTGCTTCAATTGTGCATTTGTTATGTGTTTTGTTTAGGTGGGCGTTAGAGGCCTAGCATCGGTAGAACCCACTGTGAGTAGTAACTTTATAAGGATATGTTCAAGTTATATTTATTTTCAAAACTATTATTGTTCTGGAAATCAATATTTGATTGATGGAATGATTTATTTAAATGTTATTTTCCTATGAATGAATGAAGGTTCTGTTTTGAATTGTATTCATGGCATCCAATAGTGAGGCCCTTGCCTGGGGAAACAATATCAAGGCCCATTGTTTAATAGGCCCTCACCTGGGGGATATAATACCATGGCTCATTGGCCCTCGCCGGGGGAAAACAATACTGTGGCTTATTGGAATAATTAAAACACAGAGATCTCTGATGTTAGACCCACGTGGTCACATTGAATATGGAATATTAATTGACCCATTGTGGTCTTATTGATTGACCCTTATTGTCCCATTGCCATTGATGCATTGTTACTCTATTGAATGTGCCACACAAATGGAATGAAATGGTTATTGATATCGAGATTTGGATAAAATTGCAAATGGATATTAGAATTGTTATCAAGCTTCATTCATATAACCTCTTTATTCTATTATTACTCACTAGGCCCTAGCTCACTATTTATATGTATATGTAGGTGAGCAAACGGAACATCAAGGTTAGAAGAGAAGCCTCGGAGTCTACCCCATTGTCAGCATTTTTGAAGAGCTTCCGAGGAGCAAGCTTGGGCTCGAGCGGAGTCAAGTAAAGTCAAAACACCTTTTTGTTTTTTTTGAAATTTTGTTTTGGTACTTGTATATGGGGTTTTTGTTTAATCTTGAATTGTGGAGTTTTAATGTATGAATCAGATGTTTAGGACCTTTGTGATGTATGTATATAAAATGGTTGCTCCGCTATAATATGAGGTCTTTTTTATATAAACACAGCTCGATGGATTATTTTCAAACCTTATATTACTTCCGCTAAGCCCCATAATTTATACTCAAGAGTGATTTTGTTAATCGAGGTCGTAGGTAATCTAATATTACTGGCCAGTCATGACGCTAAACCTATAGGGGCGAGTTTGGGTCATGACAGCAACTCTGTCTTGGATTTGGTTTATGGCTGCAACAACTTGGCTTGCTGAAGCTGACGTGCTTTATTATTCTACTATTATTGTTGTTGTTGTTGTTGTTGTTGTTGTTGTATTATAGTCCAATAAATAATTATTCACTCTTTGTTTGCTTCTTGGGATGGAATGGAGTAAAAATGACTCTAAAGGACATTCTGATATTATTTTTTACTTCGTCGTACTGTTCCTGTTAATTGATTTTTTTCCCCCCTCAAATAATGTTCTTTATGCCAATTGTGCTTTATGTTTGTATGTTTGCTTATTGGGATTTTTGGACTGTTTTTAAAGTGCTATAGTGTCTCAACCTACTTAACTTAATTGTATTGCCTTCTTTTTTGTTATGTGAAATTGTTGCTTTTGTACTATAAGATGATTCTTAATGTAATCCTTCCATATCCAATATGAAAACTCTATATAGCGATTTTGGTTTGAACCTAACCCAATTAATGTTTTGGATCCGGGTTTCATTGTTATATATAGTTATCCATGTCTTGTTTCCCCTTATATCTCTTTGGGTTTGGCTTTTGGAATGTGTTGATTGTGTTTGGAATAGGTTAGCAGCTTGTTTTTCAAACTTTTGTTGCCCAGATTTTTGTTTCTTCGCTTGTGCAACACTTCATGCGCTCGAGCAATCTTTGTGAACCTCCAGTACTTCTGCAGGTCTGTAAAAATACTGAGAGTTTGTATTATTCGCTCGAGCGAAGTTTCTTGCGCTCGAGTGACTATCTTCTATGTGTAAAACTTCTGGGAGTTTGTATTCTACACTCGAGCTAAGCTTCTTGCACTCGAGTGGTAAAACTTATTGTGTCTGGTCGCTCGAGCGACACATCTTCCGCTCGAGCAAACTGTGCATATATTAGATCACAGAACCACCTTTTTGGGTCATTTTTTCATTTCACTCTCTCTCTAAACATTCCAAAAATAACCCTAGATTTAGACAGACTCTCTCTAAAACTTACCTTCTCCCTACCAAAACACCAAGATCTAGTGATTTCTTCACCCTACTCCCTTTGTTGAAAAGGTAGAACACTCTGTAGACTCTCTTTTCATCTTAACAAAAGTGGATTTCGGCTTCTTTGAGGCTTCTCCATTCTTTCCTTGGTCTTTTAGCTTCGAGGTAGGGATTCTCCACACTCTAGTATGGGTTTTGCGCTTGCTATTTGTTATTTCGAAAGATTATAATGGTTTGGAGGGTTTTTGGCAAAAGCCTAGGGTTTGAAATCAAAATGTAAAAGTAAGGTTTTTAAATGGTTTCTTGAAAAAGGTTGTGATCATAAGTTTAGGGTTAACATATGTTGAAATGAGGTATTTCTTGCATTGAAATGGATTTTTAAAGAGAAAGGGGTTTTGCCCTAAGATGTAAATGTTGAGATTTTAAAGAGAAAATGGAATTGATATTGGAAATTGTGAAATTGAAATGATGATAACGATGAGGGTGGAGTTGGATATGTATTATCACTCCCATTTGAGATTTTGGAAAAGTGTAATTTTAATGGAAATTTATTTATCTGTTAGAGATATTTGTTTTGGACTATCGATAGAGGATAGTTATGATTGTTGTAGAAATTGTATGAGGATTAGGTGAATTAAAACTCAATTCTCATCCATTTTGTATTGAGCATTGTTGCATACTGATTAATGCATTAAAAATGTATATGATTTGAGAAAAAGGGGTGGACTTGGGAAGAAGGTGTGTAACACTAAGATTAAGTTGGCCTATGTGTCCAGGGTGAAAGTCTCGAAAACCGCGCGCATACATGGGTGCCAATCCTGTGGACGAAATTTTCATGAAATGGAAAAAGTAGTGCTTGTATAGCCTACGTTTACATGGATCCTGGTTTACGGTTTCCTCCGGACAAAATTTTTGAAAAAGATTGTATTGTTTTGAAATTTCCAGAGTGTGATTCACTACCCTATTATCTGTTGTAAATGGAATGATTTATGAACCATGACATTATTATGGCATCGCATTGTTTTGGAAAGAGATATAAAAATGTTTTGGCACGAGCATTGCATATGCATCCACCATATAGCTTTGTTAAGATTCATACACTGTGTTGGATTACTTCTACTGGGATTTGGCTCACCCTATATAGGAAAAACATTTCAGGTGTTGATAATATGCCTCCACCATGGACTTAGCTTTGGAGGATTGTGGAGCTGAAGGCTCATTGTTGTTATTTTGTTTTTAATTTTGTACAAGTCTAGGGCTTTATTTGTATTAAGCTCAAGACTCACTTTTGATGTACCCAAGCATGGACTTGGGAAAGATGTAAGCCAATTGGGCATATGGTTATCTGTTTAGCTTTCATTTCTTTTCACTATCTTGTAACACATTGTAAATTTAGGATGTACTGTTTATGAATGTATATCGCATATGTCACCTTTTGTATATTAGACTCTGATTAATGAAGGCTCATCATACCAGTTATGTTGCTATTTATTAGTTGTTAGGAGCTGGGTACATTGTGTTTATTTCAAGGCGTTACACTCTATGCATACACAAATATTTTAATGCATGTGTGTCTTTATATGAAATTTGTATTTGTTCAATTCATTTCTTCTTGGATTCTAATTTTTTTTTTTTTAAAATAAATCTTTGGGTTAATTTGATTAAAAAAAGGTCAATTAATGATTTTTAATTACAATTCTAGATTCTAGATTATCTGAAATTTTAAAATACCATCTTAGTGTATTTGCTAATCATTTTGAGCATTGATGCATGTAACTAATTCGAGTAATTTTTGTGGATGCAATTTGTTAGCAAGTGGAAAGTTCAAGATGGACAAAACATAGGTACATTTTCCAAGGTTTATTTCTAAACACAACAATAAATATGTTTTCAAATGTTAAGGTACTCATTTTGTTTGGATGGAATTACTAATAATTTAAAGTTTTCAGAGTATCAGATGAGTATTTGAACAAAACGAGAAAATTTGGCTCAAAGGACATACAAGATAGAGGGGAAATCTGTCAATGAAGTGCTTCAAGAAGCAGTGGTATGAATTAGCTTAATATGTATATATTGCATTATAACTGTGTATTAAAGCTTAATATTTTATTAAAGCTTGTGATTTCATTCAACTCAATTGAAAGATTGCTGGCTATTGCTTTACACTTGCTCTTCATGTTAAAATTAAAGAAAATCAGAGAAGAACTTGAATTATTGGCTTTGCATTCGATGCAATTGCTCTGTTGTTCTGAGCTGTGACCATGGTTGTGACCTTGGCTGCAGCTCTGCCTTGACTTGTAATGTTTTGGCCAACTGTCCATGTTGTGGATTCGCCGCAGCCCAGGCTACGGCTCTGGCTGCAGCCCTGTCTTGCCCTGTAGCCCTTAAATGGGCTGCACATGAGTGGCTGTGTGTCTGACTTGGACTTAGACTACTACTGCTACATGATTAATATACTTTAGCATGTTAGGAAGATCCGTATCATAAATATATTTCAGCAAGTTAAGAAGATCCTTGTCATAAATATACATTAGTAAGTTGATCTTCCTTTTCCTTTTTCTTTTTAGTTTGCAGAAACACCCTGATAATAAGCTAACATGAGAAAATATACTTCAACAAATAGGAGGTCTTCCCTTTGGTTCTCCCTAAAAGCTCAGTCATTAACAAGAAAAGAGGGGAAAGAACTAAAACTAACCATTCCATGCCCAGAGAAAAGAACAGACTTCTCAATTTTCAGACCCCGACGCTGCTGAATAGTCTCCAACCCTATAATTTGTTCAAAGTAATTCAGATTAGGCATTTACATGAGGCAATCATGCTCTCCACCAAGATAAAATCCACACATCTATAAGTGGCAGACAACAATGTTGTTTGCCACAACATTGAGCATGTTATGAAGATCATAGAAAAGATAAACATATGCAACATAAAATAAGAACAACAAAGTGACTTAACACTGTAGATTAGGGCTGCAAACAAACCAAATTCAAGGCAAGCTTAAGCTCAAACTGGCTATGGACTTGTTCAAGTTCCAAAAATCCATATGTTTCTTGCACTGTTTATTTCTTTTTCGCAGATTTTATACATATTACATTGTTTGACTTGGGTTCCTTGTCATAAATGTTATATGTTATAGAATAAGGTTCAAGAGCTTCACAAGCCTTCTACAAAATAAGGGCCAACGTCTACCAAAGATGATGTAATTGTTCATGCGTTTGGTCCAGAACATCGTGGTAGTGTAAGAGGGCTTGGATTTAGAGCATTGCCATCGAAAGTTGATGCACAAGCATACCAAAATCAAAATATGAGAAAACTAAATCAAAAATTGCTGCTCTTAGAACAAGAATTCTGAGAGATGAGAGCTGAAATGATAAAAGGAAAAAGGCAAAATGAGGTAAAAAAACAATCAAGAATGTGACAATATATGTTATATATAATGATGTTTCATAAAAGTTTTAAAAAATTTCAATTAAAACTTGTAGGAACCAAGCGAAGATGCAACGGGCAAGAAAAATTATCATGGAGAATCCTATGTAGCTTTTTCTAATTCTGTTTTTTTTTTCTAATTTTATGAAAAAAACTACACAGTCCATAGACTTCTCATTTAAATTTATTATCATAATGAGTCTCGTGTACATTTATTAAAATTGGAATTGCTTGTCACATGTGCTGCCTATCTTAGATAGAAGGATATTTCACAAAGTTTGAAAAAATAAAAAAATTGATTAATACTTATAAGAGCCAAGCAAATGGGCAAATGGGAAGAAACACTCACATGGAGAAACCCAGGTAAAATTGCACATTTCTCATGCTTGTGCTTTTGCTTACTTGCTTTTCTACTCAAGCTTATC